CTTAAAAACCGATGTTTATTTCATGAAACCGAAAAAGTATTTTGGGGCTCTTCACAGATCTTACTGCACCCTTGATGTTATGATGATGAAGAGTCATAAATGTGCGTAAATAGAAGTTTCTCTTTGGTCACCATAAATTCAATTCAAGTAGCGAGTCGGCCTCCGTACACAGAGTATAAATAGTGAATGAATATCTTATTTAAGTAAAGTACTAATATTAATAACAATTCCAATTCACCGCTTAATGTTTTAATAATGGCTTTAATTCTACAACCACTTTAAAAGCACATCACCGCAATATATGAACACTGCATAGTGAATACTCTCTTTTTTCAAAAGATACAAGCAGTAATCCAGAAGTAAAAATCCTACTAATATTATAAATGTGAAAGTTTGTAAGAATGTATGTATGGATGTATGTTTGTTACTCTTTCACACAAAAACTACTGAATGGATTTTGATGACACTTTGCAATAATATTGCTAATACATCAGAATAACAAATAGGTTACTTTTTATCCCGGAAAAAAGTACGGTTCCCGTGGGTTATATTTGTTTCTAGTATTATATAATTATTTCAATCAACTGAATGAATAAATAAGACAATGTTTTATTATTAAACAATAAAGAATATATCGATATTGGCATTAGTGCATACAATTCCCGCGCGATAGTTATCGAGGGAGCGGCGGCCGAAGGCTGGGCGAGTCGGGCCGGGCTGGTCACGATTAGAAAGACCGCCTCAGGACCAGAAACCAAGGTCTTCCGTGACGGGGATATTGGGCAAGGGTCGAGGGATCAAACGGAATCGGAACGTGATTAAATGGCATGTTTATATTTATTTTAGTTTACCTTTACTTACGTACGAGTATAAGAAATTTACACGTGTCATGTCTAAGTCCAAATCATACATCAGTAATTACTACACTGTGTATTTATGTACTCTCTGTATCATTTGTGCAAACATTAAGCAAGAGAACTAATTTAAAAAGTCATAAAACTTTCTATTGGTATTTCATTTGAAACTTACACAATTTCTATTTACATAGCCATGAGGTAAATCCAGTTCGCGCGGTCAACCGTCGAGGAAAGCGTCGGGTCGCGTCGAATCGATTCGCGACGCTTGATGTTGCGTTTGTTTTGATTAAATATCGATTATCGCGACAAATGTACCGACGCGACGTACAATTCATTAAAAAGTGTAAAAAACACGCCTCAGCTAGAAGCGTTTAAAGTCTGATTTTTAATTCCACGGAAATATGACAGCTGTCATTCTTTGACAATTCAGATATCATAAACCTTTTCTGCTTTGAATTATTTTTATATATAATAAACAAAAAATATGAAACAGAATTACATCAAGTAAACTATACGACGTATGACATTGTAATTAGTCTTTGTTTTGTGCATTCAATGCACGCTAACTATAATGAAAATTTTTAATAGATAAATGAATAAAACAAAATATTTTACAAACAAAGGGGTTTTCCTAAAAAAGGCTTGCAACCTATGGATTATTGGATAGGGATTCCTGTAATAGAAAAATAATTTCCTTAATAAATATTGTAACTTCAATAATATGACAATGAAAAAAATAATTACTTAAAATAAAAAAAAAAAATATTTTTAGTGACAATTTTTTAAAGTTGATAACACTTCTGAAATATCAGAATTCCGTCGAATTAAAAATCAGACGTAATTTTAAAATTAATCCATTATATATTTATGTAATTGTATTTAAACCAGAGAAGTGATGATTTAAATTTTCAAAGGATAAACAAAACCGTGTTTACTATATTATCGGTAACTTACCGGAAAGACTGACATTAGCAGCAACCATTGGGGATCATTGTGACGTAAGTTTACTACGATGTTACGAACAAGGATATCAAAGTATTACATTTACATGAAAATTAATGTTTTTAAATAGTTTTACTAATTACTGTAACATATACGATAAAATTTTGTTACGTTCTTTTTGAAGAAAGAACTGAACCATCATGGATCTCATGACACGTAGTAACCGATTATTTTTAATTTTACTTGCGAACTTTGTTGTATATTTTTTTTTGTGCAAGTATTAAGCAGATAAAAAATATAATCCGGCAAAGCTGCGACAGGCGGCTTAATTAAATTTATTGGTCCGTGTCGATCGTTCGATGTTATCGCAATATTGGAAGAATAAAACAGCTGCGGCTCAGACATTCTAGTATGAAAACAATGTTTTGGTCTTGGACAAGATTGTACTCCGTTATCACTTCTAGGAAATTATGAATAAACACCTATGAGAAAGAGTGTCAGAATATAATGGTGTAGTATCTATCTATATATATAATTGTACCCATATATAAATACAAGCATTGCCCGTGGCTCCGCGCGCGTTCAGATGACCAAAAACCAAATTCTTACGTTTTACAACATATTAATATGGTCGTACATCGCAGTTTTTGTTTTTCTTAGAAATAAGATATTTTCCCAAGGTAAAAAGTATCCTATATGTTGACCCGGATAACCGGTTATCACCATATCAAATTTCATCAAAATCCCTCCAGTGGTTTTTCTGTGATGCGGTAACAGACAGACAGACAGACAGATTAAATATTTTTTAGAAAATCTTATTGAAATAGACATTATTATCGATACAGAGGCCGAATTTAGAATTTTTGTCTGTCAGCCTGTTACCGCATCACAGAAAAACCACTAGAGAGATTTTGATGAAAATTGGTATGGTGATAGCTGGTTATCCGGGTCAACATATAGGATTTTACCGCGGGAAAATATCTCATTTCTGAGAAAAAATGCAAAAACTGCAATGTAAGAGTATACTAATATGTAAAAATTTGTTTTTGATCATCTGAACGCGAGCGGAGCCGCGGTCAATGCTAGTCTACATCGTATGTATTGAACTTATGCTATTATACCATATAACTATCACAACTTCATTTACACAAACCCACTCATATTTTATGCGCATTGCGCGAGCGCACTCTATGTGGAGCGTGCGAACCCACTACGCAGCCATCTATGGCAACCTCTTACGGGCCTTCTTAATTACTATTCTGCCGACGAAGTCTTTTCAAAATAGGAAACGGGAGCATACCCTTAGCCTTAGGTTGTGGCTCTGTTCTACAAATAAGGGATCGAGCATCAGAATAAATCACAAGTAGGAAATTAAGAGATAGCCTGTAATAAACTATCTAGTTAAGTGGATACTTGAAGTAAATGTTTTAAATATTGTCTTTCATTGTCTATCTTATAACCAATTCCTGAATGATAAACTATAACAGCAAAAAACGTTCGTGAACAAGGAAGCGTTTAAAACGTATTAGCGTCGGTTATGGAGCTTCGCTGATTTGAGGCAAGTTATGGCGATACGGTGTTCGCAAGGGCACACGTGCCAAATTCGACACCCGATCATAATTAATTAAAGCAATAAAATTTAAAGTGTTTTGATTAAATAACCTTGACAATATGTATAAAAAAGATTAAAAATTATTGGTCTCTATTTAATTTTGAACTGAGATGCTCTTGTAATCAAAATTTTATAAACATTTGAGCTGTATATGTACGTGATATGTCAGGGTAATACATAATGTAGGTATATACTGGTAATAGAACTAACACTAACTAACAATAAAACTAATTTTATAAATGCGAAAGTTTGTGCGTTCTTTAATGTCTAACGAATAGGTGAATACCAATAGAATTCAAATTAAAGAGCTTATTTATATAGTTAGCATGGGCGATAGGTTTTTTTTTTTTTAGCTAAAGATTTTTGTCATTTTTTATTGATTATTAATACAATCTCAGATAATATAACCTCGACTTGTTTTATATTTTTTTTTTTTAATACTCCCACTTTTCGTCTTTCTCACTCTGTCCCCGCGATTTTATACGGGCGAAGGCGATAGGTTAGGTTATCTACTTTTTGTCGATGTACATGTACCTACATACAAATTTAGCTACCACGTGAGTGGTATGTTTACGTCTAACACATTTACCGACGAGTTAATTACAATCTTTAACAGCAAGAATAAAACTAAATTCTCATTAAGAAAATATTTTTATTCAATACCAATCTATTAACTTACTACACGACAACACAAATATGTAGAGCATGTGTGCAATAAGGCAACAAGGAGGTATGAAGCAATGTACCCGTAATAGGAAAATGTTATCTCCGTGCGTTACGTTTACACCTGAGATGACATTTCGCGGTCGCGGATCGTGACTAAGAAATGACAAGTCGTGGTATTCTCAGCGCATTTTTCACCTTTACATAAGGAATCGTGATCGGTAACAATTGTCATTTATGAAGGATAAGCATAGAGCAACGTTAGTGAGCATTGCACAAATATAACCGATGGCAAATACTTTAAGTTTTATATAATAAAATTGTAACTAAGCCGAACCTGTACATTAGATATTTTATGGAAAATCTTATTGAAATAAACATTATTATCGATACAGAGGCCGAATCTATTGTTTTTAGAATTTTTGTCTGTCTGTCTGTCTGTATGTCTGTCTGTCTGTCTGTTACCGCATCACAGAAAAACCACTGGAGGGATTTTGATGAAATTTGGTATGGTGATAGCTGGTTATCCGGGTCAACATATAGGATCCTTTTTACCGCAGAAAAATATCTCATTTCTGAGAAAAAATACACATACTGCAATATAGAGTATACGAATATGTAAAACCTAAGAATTTGGTTTTTGATCATCTGAACGCGGGCGGAGTCGCGGGCAATGCTAGTGTTTTATAAAACAATACAGATAATAATATTCCCATTAATCATTCGGTGAGGAGTTTCATATTTTCAGTGTCAAGCAACAGTCACTCGGGCTATCCTCCATAATCCATCAGACGAAGCCCAGCTGTCAACTCCAATCCGGTCAACGTCTTCGTTAACATCGCGGTCCGTCGTTTATTTTTAGCCCGTCCGTCCGCTACACGAGGAGTTTTTATACAGTATGAGCGACATACCGCAACTGTAATTTAATAGTTCCGGAGAAACAGTTGAACGTCGTACGTAATGCTAATTGCCGGCGAGGGCGCATGATGCCGCGATGGCGCCGTTGCAACATATTTACGTTTAGAATCGTGGAAGTAGGTGGGTAATCGCGCACGAAGTTCACGTTTAGGCGTTATGAGGTTAAGTAATTCATCCCGACGAACTTTGCTATTTACCACGACTATAAGACACAACAATAGCGAGAGACCAGGTTGCACAATATGTATAACAATACGTGGCGCCGGCGCAGTACTGGATTTATCGCTATCGGCCGCCATTGTTGCATGCCCTGTTGACGTATGGCACATTGACCGCTCATTTGTATTTTGTACCCCCCTGGCCCTCTTAGAATATTGTTCATTAAAGTCATCAACTCTAAAATTGTAATAGTGTTTATATCGTAGATGTATAAGGCTAATAAATATACATTTTAATCTATCTATCAAAGTACTATAAATGAGTACTTCACAGAAATACAAATCGAATATGAGAATACAAACCTAATACAATATTTATTGTTAGTATTACCATATTATGTCCCTTTAATATTAATTACAATTTTTTACTTTTAACGTTTTTTTTTAAGTTTTAGTAAATTTAAAAATTACACAACACATACACCATACACATCAAGCACATTTTTCAGACTGGCTGAGCTTCTCTTATTAGTTTCATCAACAAAGTAAAATTGGAAAAGCAAAAAGTTGAATTTTTTCATGTTTGTAATCTTTCGAGTACCTACTACGTAAAGTGTGCGAGGGTTTTTAAATGAGTCAGTCGTAGGCAGGTCATTTACATACTTTTCCAGACACATAAACTAACGACGTACCCCTCGTTCTTGTTTGGTTTGAACGTGAACCCCAAACACCGTTCTGGTGTACAGTTAAAAATATATACAGAATTAATGCCCTTCAGGGTTCAGATATTAATACCTATACCATACCATATAGCATTATTTTTTTAACAAACACTCATTTAAGAAGATAAGCAGTTTTCCACCGACTAAAATTCTTATAGATTTGCATTTTAATATAATAGGTCATAGGAATAATGAAGTTTTTTAAATTGAGATGATTCCATATGTTTACAGTAGCCTTTCTGATATCGAATCACATGTCATATCATTGTAAACACGCCAGTCAGTTATAAACTTCCATTCAAAGGTCCACTTACAAGTAAATTATGTGAAATAAAAAAAAAACAAACTCATGATTAAAAGGACGTGGGCGAAACAAACGAGTAATCAGACTCTAATTGCGTATAAACGACGTATTCAGACATACAGCGGTAGCAAAAACTATTAATATACTTAATAGTATAAAACTGTGAATGGGATAGGCAAAAAATACTAAAAGATCATCTGAGATTGACCATAAAGCAAGGTTAAAAGCGGTGTTGTTTCACATTCTATTTATTTTTATGAGAACAAGAATTCTTTGTATATAGTAAAATTGGTTTAATGTTATGAATTACAGCTAAAAAACCTACCTATAATATTCTTGACAATTTAAGTATACTACGTAAAGAAATCTCTAAAGCACAAAAAACCAAAGAAATGTGGAAAACTACTGTAGAATTTTCTTAAATAAGTAATACATATATTTTATTTATTGTTTGTAGAAGCTATAACGTGATCAAAGGTAGTAAGCAATAGAGCATTGACCGATAGGTCAATTACAGCTGCTGTGACAGACCACGCATGGATAACGTTTTCTTGTACTCATTGATAACTTATCATGAAATCCAGGTTAGTATTATTTTTAAGTGCTACCTAAGTAGTAGAAATCTTAGAACTAATATATAGGCACAATATGTTTTTTAATAATAAGTATATTAAAAAATAATAGTATCTGTATTGTTTTTGATAATTTTCCTTTAAAAATGCAATAAAGTATATCTACATATATTGAAAAGATCTGCATATGGAATATTGGTAGCACCTTAGCAACAACCTAACAAAAAAAACCATGGTTAATATTTGATAACATTAATATTTATAGACTTTACATACTGATAATAATGATAACAAAAGTAACGTGTTGATAAAACTGAATATATCATAATCCTAAACCCGTGTATAATCTGTACAAAATATAAGGGATTTCCCCTACGTCGTATGGTGCACTCAATCGCAATGCTCATCAGAGGGCTCTTAGATGTCAGAGACTATGAGACTTCACTTTATCTAGTCCCATACGAGCCCTAGGGAGTTGACGGAAGTACTGAGTCGGAAATTATATGAAGCAGCTGAGATGCATCGCAAATGCGATTATAATGAAAAAATATGTAATTTTCTTAGTGTTTTAGGAGAATAATGAAATATTTTAATATTATTACATTCAAGAGCACATGTTGTGGAATATACTCTGCATATCCATAAAGTTTATATCAAAATGAAGAATGAAGGTTTTAGTATATAATTTGTTAAGTTTTTGTATACATTAAAATATAACGATATATTTTGTTGGAGTTGTCGGTAAAAAAATAAAATAAAAAAAAAGTCCGCGATGGCATATGTCTATCTCTTAAGGATAAATAATAATAAAACGTACATAGGGACGAACCCGAGCGAAGCGAGGGTGAATGGCTAGTTAATATTATAAATGCGAAAGTTGTGAGTATGTATGGATGTCTGAATGTATAGATATATAGATGTTTGTTACTCTTTCACGAGAAAACTACTGAATGGATTTAATGAAAATTTACAATAGCTTATACCGAAAAAATGTATAGTTCCCGTGGGATAAATTTGTTTTTGTTTTTCTATAGGCGAATCCGAGCGAAGCGAAGGTGAGCCACTAGTAAGTTATATTTTTCGTTATATTTCGCGAATGACAAATAAATCATAAATTACAACTTTTTCCGCCGTCTCCGTAAAGTTTAAGTTGGCTATAAATATTATACGCAGTAAATCATTATTTTACATGTATGGCTTATGATATATTTACTTTAGCATTTACTTTATACGGCGCCAACGAAACAATAAAATCGGCGACACATTCGTTTAAAAATCTTCTTAATCATCGAATAAATACGAGCTGGGTTAATTATTGCCTTCCTCGGTACGTTTCGCTTGTTTACGTCTATTATTCTTGTAAGTGAAGCCGTAGGATACACAATGTCTGCGACGTCACAAAGAAGTGCTTACACGAAACGTGTAAAAAACCTGAATAGGCAAATACTTGTACGCATACAAAAAATCTAGATTTTGTGTCTTAAAAGAACAGCAAAAAAAACCATTTTAAGCTCGCAACTTGAGCGAAAACGTTGAAACAATCAAAGAAATTCACAGTACTTTAAAGATTTCTTTTGTACCCTTATTAAAAAATCTACGTATAGACGTAGGTACTTTGAGTTACAAAACATGCCTAATTTACATCTAGATGCACTAATTTCATAAGCAAGCGGCGCCAACTAACGATTGTGCAATACAATGGTATTCTACATAAAGCGACGTATAATGGTTGAATTGAATTTTTATTGTCGCATCCCGTATCGGTGTCAACGGTAAAGTGTTCGCCGGTACAGTTAGGAATCTGATACGAGTGTTAGAATGTTGAAAACATCTCCTACGCGGCGCCCTACTCCATCTGCGACGTTTTGGGACGAGAGTGGCGTATTAGAATTTATTACAAAGACTAGCATTGCCCGCGGCTCCGCTCGCGTTTAAATGACCAAAAACCAAATTTTTATTATTAGTATGCTCTTACATTGAAGTTTTTGTATTTTTTCTTAAAAATGAGATATTTTCCCGCGGTAAAAAGTATCCTATATGTTGACCCGGATAACCAGCTATCACCATACGAAATTTCATCAAAATCCCTCCAGTGGTTTTTCTGTGATGCAGTAACAGACAAAACTATAGATTCGGCCTCTGTATCGATAATAATGTTTATTTCAATAAGATTTTCCCAAAAATATATAATGTACAGACTAGGCTTAGTCACAATTTTATTATATGTATAGAAGATACGGTCTAAGTATCATCGACTTTTGTCGTAAGATTACAAAGTTATCCGAGACGGCATCATAAACTATTATGCAATATGAATTCGTAAAATGAAAACAAACTGGCGTAGGTACTTTAATGAATTATTCAAGTGAGAAAGGTCCAGCTTGATCGGCCTTATAAATCTTGTAGGGCTTTTGTAAACGATGCTCTAGAAAACTTATACGTACATATTTAGTAGAACTAGTGATCGATATTGAGCTTCTTTTTTTTTTAAGTTATACAGATAGCCCATAAAATCCAAACGAATGTTGAAACGGGCCCATAGATTCAGAGATTTGCACATACAGACAAACAAACATTCGATCTTTATATTATGTAAGTAATTTTATATAAATAAAACGCGAGCAGATTCGCGGGTAAAAGAGTCAGTAAATTTTAGCTTTCTGTAGTCCTTCTCTATATAAACTTTAACTATGCCAAAGCTCATACTCCTCCGTACATACAATATACTTAAAAATGGGTTCAAAGTTTTCTCTTCACGTATTAATATATATGTAGATAACTAACCAAAAGCAGTAAGGGAGAGCTTTTTATAAAGCTTTTGAGGAGTATACAAGTATTTTTGCAAGATAATTTGCATTGTGTTTACGTAACTTCCGACAGTAGCCAATAATATGCCACCCACACCAAATTAGACGCGGGTCGATTTATGTCCTACGTGTTTGAATAACGATGGAACTGCACCGCGTTGTGACTGCAAATCAATGACAGCAATAATTACCCAACTTGATTTATATTGTTTGTTAATTGATCTATGAGAAATAATAATTTCTATATATTTTTTGAAATCGGATTTTATTTGTTACAACTAGCGACTCACCCCCCCTGCGCTCTAGTTCGTCCCTACTTACATTTTAACGTTTAGTATAGATTTCTCAGAGAGGAGATATTTTCCTGCAGTAAAAAGTATCCTTATATGTTGACCCGGATAATTGCTATCGTCATACCAAATTTCATCAAAATCCCTCCAGTGGTTTTTCTGTGATGCGGTCACAAACAGACAGATAGACAGACGGACAGAAATTCTAAAAATTTCTGTAAGAAAAGATTCGCCTCTGTATTGATAATAATGTCTATTGTATTTCAATAAGATTTTCCAAACAAATATTTAATGTACAGATTCGGCTTAGTTACAATTTTATTATATATACATATATAGACGAAATTCCTTATTGCATTGCGCTATTTACATCTGCGAATGAAATTATTCTGTAGGTTTCAGTGGGAAAATAAATAAACTTTAGTTTTTAGAATGTAGTTCCTACACTTGTTGAAGTGGATTTACTCACTCGTCTA